ACCTGGCAACTCTGCGCTCCTAAACAACGGAAGTAGATAAAGTCTGCGTGATCAACAATGGCTGCGCCTTGATTCAAGTCTACTAATCAGACCTACAAAACTTTAAACTGGGCCTAAAAATGCGCAAACTACCGTAATTTTGTCATGAACAGATGGTATAACAGTGGCTTTCGGTCTCCCATCAGGATTTTGGAAGCCATTGGATATGATCTAGATTTAATAGTGGTCGCTCGTTACGGAAGTCCTCCCCTAAATTATATCTACATATAATCTAGATCTATAAAAAATCGCACAAACACACACACGTACTCACACACAAAGTCCTCCCCTAAATTATATCTACATATAATCTAGATCTATAAAAAATCGCACAAACACACACACGTACTCATTCTTTCACACAGACACACACACACATACATATATACATACACACACATACACACACATACACACACACACACACACACACACACACACACACACACACGCATATTCTAGATCTAATGTAGATATGTACTGACCCGTGATCTCCCGAGCTGGTTCTCTGACATTGTTCTTTTGGTTTGTAGAGGATATTTTAGAAGATGTACTTATAACTTATGCGGTAGTTGTTTGTTCTTGATAAGGGAGACTAATACTATGTCTCATCTCTGTTTGAATCTCCCTTGTCCTAGCAGACATAGATGGAGACATGTCCACGAGTCCGATACACAAAATTGTCTCGTCTAACCTTACACCTGCACCTACTTCCGTTCTGTTGCCGCGCACTCTGGGACACAAGAAATGGGGAATTTTAGGTAATCTTGCAGTATTGGACCGATCTTGTAAAGAGGCATACATTGACATCGGTCATTTTCTGATGTTTTTTGGTGTGAATTCTGCAATAATACCAACACATGTCCTGTGTCATGAGGAAATGGAGAAATGTTGATGAGAAAGAGAAGAAGAGCAAATCAAATGAGGCGGTACTTGAAGGTGCCCACGTGATCCACTCGCTGATGAGGAAAAAGAAAAAGAAAAGGAAAAAGAATACTTGGATACCTGAGGGTGTCATCTCTGACTGACTCAGAGGTTGACGTGTAATGACTCTCCATCTTTCACGGTCTCGAGCAGCCGTTGCACATTCTGCTATATCCAGTTTGTCCAGGTGTTCTCAAACACATCATCATCATCATCATCATCATCATTTTTTGGTAAGCAGGGTAGGAGGGAGAGTCTTGTTTTAATTTTAGACAAAAATAAAATAACAATATAAAATGTTTAAATTGTTTAATAGCTCAACGTTTCGCCCTGTGGGCTGCCTCAGGAGCAACTGAGAGAAAAACTAAACGAGCGCTGTATATTAGCAGGGAAATGGGCCTAACAAAGGGGG